CCATATGGACTAGATTTCAACAATTGGACTTAAGATCAAACAAATACAGTCATTGTTGACGGTTAAAATTACGGAGTAACATCTACCTATATTGCAACAACATTAGGGCATGTTCTCTTCATCTTATTACTTATTACTTATTACTTATTCTTATTGGAATCAAATCAAAAATATTCAAATCAGACCAGACCAAATCACATAAGAAACAACTTTAGTTCAATTCAGATCAGACCAGAAGGATTTAGATCAGATCAGACCTTAATATATTCTGACTAGACAAAGAGAACATGCCCATAGTCATCAATCACCACGAATGATGTCGTACCTAGCTGAAAACATGAAATCTGTGAAATGGTTAGAAATATTAAGACAAACATCTATTACCTTCTCGTCTTGACTTCCAAGCCAGGAAATAGTTCTATTAAGATCTTCAGCAACCCATTGTTTCACGTTAGAAGGATAGAAACATTCTTCGAAACCATTGGAGCGTATGCCCTGTTTCACGTACGATAATTAGAGTAGACTGAGAATTCAGATATGTTTATTTACATAACTTTTTCATTACCCATGTTGACCTCTCAGAAATTTCAATATATGCAGTTGTACATCAGGCATGTATAGAAGGCTTCAAAACCACACACTGAACACATGTACAAAACTACAAAACTAGAAGCCTTGAGCCTTGTAGATATCAGATTTTCAAAAACTGACTTTTCACTGTCATGCAAATATGCCCCAAACACCATTGAAGCTTCCACCATAAAATTGGACTTGGCAATGATAGAAAATCACACACTTAATAGTCATTGGATAGTATCCATTTGTTAAAAGATGATAGAAATCAAGCAGACCTTAGATGGTGCAGGATTAGTCAAGTCTGAGCATGAGGTTTCTATTTTTTCTTGAGATTTTCTCAAAGGCAGTGACCTATTATCTGTGAGGGAGGAGGACCAAATTGTGTTAGCTCAATAAGGACATAAAGTATGTAACTTCTTTTGTGTTTGTCTTTTTTAAGACATAAAGTACGGAGTATGTAACTTCGTTTATGCTTGTATTTTTTTATGTTCCATTTTTTGGATGAGACTAAGTGACTAACCTTTGCAAACACTTTGCTTCCTCCATGGTTTCCCAACATGCATAAGGTAAGGCTCAATATCGATGAGCTGTCTGTGTTTATAACATTCTGCTATCCAATCCTGTTCCAAATTTTGTTAATCAAAGAGATAGAAATCAAGTTTGTAGATCTTGATTGTGAAACTGGAGAACAATTACTGATGAGTCAACAGAGATGGGCGCTAGTGGTGTATGTCATTGTGTAGCACCATTTGACATAATACCTCCGTCTCACAATGAAGTTAATAGTTTGACATGGTCTTCAATACAATACTTTAACCATTAATATCTTCAATTATAGATAAATAAATATTATAAACAGAACATATTCCAAACTACATTTTAAAATGAAATTAATGATGTTAAGGTCAAATTATAACTCAATTCATTTTTAATGCAAATTATAGTCTAATATTGAACATTTTGCCAAGAAAAGTCAATGTGTAAACTTCATTCTGAGACAGAGTGACTATAAATTAATAACCAGAGTTGGTATATCTAAAAAGTAAACCCCATGTTCATATTTCAATGTTCCACTTTGTCAATTGAACCCTGAAAAATACTATAACAAACTCCTCAAAGTATGTTATAACACAAGGTATCAACGCCTCCCACCCCTGGACATTAACACCTGATCAACATCAGTTCCAAATACATCCAAAGTTCTGCAGAGATACCCATCCATCATGCAGCCGCAAATCCAAAAAAAAATGCACAAGTAGTGAATGACAATACCAGATACTACGGAGTATGTATTAAACAACCTTCAAACTCAGTCAGAACCCACTAAATGTGTTTCAATGCCTTGAACCAAGTTTTAAAACCGAACAACTCTAAATTTTATTGCTTCCCAAAATGTTCAAAGGTAAAGCCTTCATCCCAGCAAAGTGGGATGGAAAGTTTTATGGTAAACTTTACTAAAAACAGGGTCAGGTTGGTCGCTGGAAAATTTGATTGATATGGGTTACAACAACAACAAGAACAATGCAGTTGATTGATATGGGTTGAACCATTGAATTAGATGAGTGACTTTGAAATGGAAAGAATGGCAGATTGGCCTTGTATTGTCTAAAGTGAAATTTAAAATAGATTGGCAGCGAGCAGCGACCCCCCCCCCCACCCAGCTTGGACCTCTGAACCCATCCCCCAGCCTCAGGCCCAAGGGACTACTGTAGGGCCCCTAAATGGCTTGGGGCGTCTGGACCCTTTTTAATAAATTAACAGAAATTATATTCCTCTACATTTTAACTAAAAAGTACACTATTTTCTAGATAACTTTGCTTTATTTATTATCAGCACTTCTGCAGTGGCCAAGTAAGGTAGTATTTGGGAGAAAATCTAGCTAATCTATCTGATAAGCAAAATAAGTGGGCTACCAAACAGGCAAATATATTCCATTCTTTTCCTGATAAGTATATGATGAAAGAGCTTAGATCCCTAGGGTTTCATCAATCTTCAAGATCTAGCATGTTGGGAAATCGAGATCGTAAAAGGGATCCACAGTAGTTTGTTGCAATGCTTACGGCTAGTTTTGTTCTTCCTTTATATTTTAGAAGCTGAGAATATTTGAAGTACTAGTATTTTTATTTTCATCATTTTGTTTAATCATTTCATCATTTCAGATGAAGCCAAAAATTTACTATTTTTTGGATTTGGGGTGTGATGGAATAAGGCAAAAGGGATCTCTAAATTGTCTGCGCTTCTTTAATTAATGAAGTAGTAGTTAATCAATCAATGCAACTTTTGACGCTGCCGGGGGTCTCTTTGGAAACAGCCTCTCTACTTTCAAGTAGGGGTAAGGTCTGTGTACACACACCCTCCCCATACCCTATTCTTGTGGGATTCAACTGGGTTGTTGTTTTTGTTGTTAAATTAAACTTTGTATAATGATTCTCCTAAAACAGGGATTATTGTTTCCTATTATCCTATATGAATATGCTTGTAGACCTTAGGCATAATTCTCCAACTTCCTGTTCAAATACACTGTTATTCTTATTGAGTATAACTACTTCTCTTCTCTACCATTCATCCGTTTCTGAGAAGAACCAAATTATCTCAGTGAACTCAAAATGAGAACATATCCACATATTTTATTAGGAAAAAAATTCAGTACTTTTCCAATGACTTACAAGACAAAAGCAAGCACAGTAGAAATCAGTGGGTCAAGAGAATGGAAGGGGCAAGTGAAAAATATGCACGAGTTCTTGAATGAGTATTCCAATACATACTAAGGAACTGATTATGCACTGCAGTCTATGAGAGCACAAAAGCCCTTGCCATAAATGAACTGCAACTGATCTGACCAACACATGAATCATTTCCGACAGATCATGCAACAGCGTATAAAGAAACGAACCTTGGATACAATGGTCCCAAGATCTGACTCAACTTGCCGGAACTTCGGAGTGTTTGGAAATGCACAAACCAAAAGGGTGCAATTCGAATTCCAGTCTGGTTGATATTCAGCTCCCATTTCCAAGGCTTGAGACCTCAGCGTAGCACGTTCAGGATTTACAAAGCCGGATAACACAAACACAACACCCTCCTGCACCAACCAATACATTCATTTACTCCTTTTAATTAAATATTTTCCAAAATCAAGCGATTCAAACTAAGCAGAGATCAGATAGTTAGAAACCACAATACTACCATGAGTTTCGAGAAGTTTGAGGTGGATAAATCGGAGTCGGTTTCATTTCCTTCTTGAGCACCATTGCGAGCTTTTTTGCCCCCATCAAAATTACTTGTGTCTTGCTTCAACCCCATCCACGAGGGCAGATTTCGTTTTATTGTAGGCTTACTACCATCACTATCTTTGCCTGCTTTTGAGCCAGACATTTGATGACACTGACACTGCCTACCTACATGAAGTTCAGAGACGGCCAGACGGACACTGGAAGTTCAATCTATGGGGTCCCAAGTCCGAGAATGTGTGACTGCAGTACGCGGTGATCAGTAACAAATTTAAAAAAAAAAAAATCATAACAACATCTTTACATTATACAATCAATACAAAATTAGTGTTCATATATCCGGGACTTGTCTCATTTTCGTGCATTTAGGTGAAAATCTGAAATTTTCTTTCTTGAACAGGCTAAACTTCCAACGATTCAAATTCAACAACTTCTTCACATCCTTTAAGAACAGCGAACCTTGGTTGCTTCAATTGGGGCATCCAGACATTGAAACCCCATGTTATCGAGAGCACATGGAGTAATCGGGAAAGAAACGAACAAATTATTCAAAATTGTTACAGAGTACTAACCTGGAAATTTTGGAGAAAATAGCTCTGAAGCTGGAGATTGGATAACAGCGTAACCGCTGAACGAAGATTTGCTTCCTTGGGGAGGCTTCTTAAAAAAGAAACTTTTTTTTTTTTATCAATTTTTATTTTTTATCAATTTTTAAAAAAATTACTCTTGTTTATAAAACTCCTATCATATCCTGTTCATAAAATTAAGAATTTCATATCCTAATTTCTAAGCAGAAACTACAAGGGATACATCAAAAGTGAACCCCAAATGTCCCCACCCACTCTTTGTTCACAAAAATAGGGAAGAAAATTCCAAAAAGATAAATAAATAAAAATAAATGGTTATCTCCCTTTAAACACGATATTATCTTGCTTTGTCTCATTCCTTTTGAGATTCGAACATTTCAAAGCAGGCTCAAGATTTTCTATCCAAATTTTTTTGTATAAATGGTAAACAATAACATTTGTAGTGTATTAACCCTAGGTAAAAATTCAAAATTTTTAATAGTTTCCTCAAGTAAGCGCAATAAAATCATATACAAACATTAAAAAATAACAAATTAGGGTATATTTGGTTGGAGAAAAATAATTTCTAAGGGAAAATTATTTCAAAAGAAAATAATATCCCCTTGCATTTTTCATTGTTTAGAGGGATAGAAACTATTTTTAAAAACAAACATTTTTAAATATTTTAAAACGTTATTAAAGATAATTTAACTTAGGTGTTGCTATATCCACCCTATTATAGCTACATTGACGAAATAATATTATCGATGCAATTATGGTTTCGAAAAAATGAGTCGAGAAAAAGGTTTACATATGTAGAATGAATTTGGTAGCATTTGATCCACGACTACTCTTAAAGTTCTAGAAAAAATAATTTCCAATGTTTTATGTTTTGCTATAACTTTTAACAAAGTCAAACATTATCATTTGTTGGATTATTTTTAATCAATTTGGTGTTCACTCATGGTCAACTTTGCGTTGCTGTTTCACGAGTGAAAGCAAAGGGAGAGTAAAAATTATTAGTTCCAGGTGATAACGAAAATCTTTGCAACTATACCAAAAATGTTGTATACCCCAAAGTCTTTCTAAAAAACATAGATATAAAAAATCTTTGAGATGTTCACTTTTGAGTTTGTATATAAGAATTTTCATTACTAAATATTAAGTAGAGGCCATTGAGGGGGCCTAACAAGACCACTAGCTGCGACAAGTACAAGTGTACAACTACGACTTTTCTTCCTTCAATGTGGCGGTAAGTGTTCAAATTTCTATGTGTTGTTTATGCTGGAGTAGTGCCTTTAATATTTCATTTCTAATGAGTTTACTCAATGCTCATGGTATAAAAGTTCAATTCTAAGGCCTCATCAATCAATCTTCATTTTCATTTTCTTTCATTATCATTTTCTTTCTATTGACTTTTTATGTATTCATCTTCTCATCGAATAAGAAAATTAATAATGAGAAGATGCTTATATGAATCTCATATTTTCTTACCACAACTCACTCACTTTCAAATTTTCCTCTTTTTCTAGACTCCTCAAGCTTGAAACTATAAGTAACCTTTTTCTTCCTTCTCATGATTTACTATGAGACTCCATATATGCTTGCAATTGTTGTAATTCATTATCTGCCATGAGGTAGGTTATGTGGCGTTGGGGTAAGCCGAAATGTTGCAACCGTTTCTTTCTCATTATTCTGGTCAGATCTATTGCATCCTTTGTCTTTGTAGGCGTTGATGGATTTTTGGCTGAGCTGCGGACGGGGGGAAACACCTCCATTGTACGAGCAATGGTTGTTGAGGTCATTGAAGACTTGAAGCTTATGGAGCAAAAACATTGATGTTCACGTGCTCTTTGTGTTGGAATTAGAAGATAAAGAACACTGCGAAGCAGTGTTAAACGAAGAACTCGATAGAATAACGAATCGCGTACGAAACGCTTTCAGATCAAAGTTATTTCGGGGTATTCAATCGGATAAGACGTTAATTCAGAACAAGCACTCGAGAATCTATATATCAACCCATACCACGAGACTCTATTTTATAGAGTTGAAAAATCCTTGTGATCGGACATGAACATTCACGTAGATGTACGCGTACGTTCGCGCAAGAAGAAGAAAGGTGCGAGTTTGAACGAAAGGTCTCCTGCGGTTGAAGGCTTAATTTCGACGTTTATCCATTATGTACGAGTCCTTTACCGTTTAGGACTCCGGTCACGAAAATCTTAAGGATTTTCTTAAAGAAACAACGTCCGAAACGGCCAGGGGCTCTGCCCCTTGAACCCCGCCAGGGGCTGCCGCCCCTGGACCCCGCAGTGAATTTATAATATCGTTGAACGAGCGCGCACTCCGCGCCTCCTAACTCGTTTGACAACGTCTATTTAAATTCTTGTCCGATCAAAGTAAATCCAATTATACAAAATAAATTGATGACACTAAAATCACCAAAACTTTGAAGGAAATTTTAGAAAACTCCATGTAATCGAACACATTTCCCCTTCCGTCACCTATATTATTTATTAGTATTCAGGTCATCTTCAATGCAAATTTAAGCTAGATTTTAGATTTATTTTTTGTAATGTGTTACTGTTCCATGGAGTCTGCAATTTAGGTGCTGAAATTTGAAATGGACTTGCAATTTAGGTGCTCAAATTTGAAATGGACTGCTTTTACTTTAATTTATAGGGGAACTGAATGAGTGAATGGTTCTATGGACTAATTGAAGGTTAAAATCAAATCTTTTAAGATGTGCTTGGATGGAGAGTTTAGCAGGGGGCAGTTTTGAGTATTCAGCTTTTAGCTTTATCTTGATAATTGAAATTGTTCAAAAGGTGTAAACTTTGGTGCTTTTAATGATCTTTTATTAGACTTTATTACTTTCCGCGTTGTTATCCTCTATGAATTGGGACTAACAAGCACATTTGTTATTATAAGAATCAATAGCTGGTTTAAGACAGAAATATTTGGAAGGCCTCAGATGGAGAAGATTTGATGGCGAAGGCTAGGTTGGAATGTGCTATCTCCATATAATGGTTGGGCGCAAAGTTATTTTGTGATGGCTGTGTTTTTTGCTAGGATCTTGAGAGACTTGAAGCTCAAATATCAACTGTGGTTCAAGGTAAAGATAAACCGACTTAAACCCTCTTAGTAATGCATAAAATGGATGAATATAATAGATTTGCAGCAAGACAGGAACTGGTGCTTTTATGAGGATGGGGTTGAAAAGTTCAAAACACCAACTTTTTCAAATTTTATTAAGGATTTGAGTGTTGGGACTTTTATTAATTTTATCAGGTGGATTCATTAAATGAAAAAACATTTCCAACAGTTAAAATTTATAAAGAAAAAAAATCATGAAGAGCTTAACTTAAAATAAGCAACATTTGCCAATTGAATAATTATGATACTTAAAATTCATGTCCAAATGTTGTTGGAATATCCATACATTTCTAGATGGACGCCTATTACCTATATTTTTACTTTGTATTTTATTATCTCAATGCAACAGCATATAACTTTCAGTATCTAATGTTTGGGTTTTCTACTGTTTTACACACTAATATTTTTCCCATGATTTTTAATTTGTATTTTTTATCGATATACTAATTTGTAAATAAAATGATTTCAAAAAATTAGAGATGTCTTCTCGTAAAACCCCAAAGAAAATGAACAAAGAAATACAAAAGGAAAATAAGAAAATAAATATGGAGTATAGAAGTACAGATGTGTTGATGGCCATTGGCCACATATTTCCTTATCCATATGAAAAAAAGGAAAAATAAAAAGAAAACAAAAATACTCATCAGTGGCCATTTTGCCTCGCAGGCTACTTGGTTTGAGGGGAGACTCGCCCGAGACACGCATGGCAACATGACTCCATAAGCTGATATGGAAGGGCGTGGCATAGTGACGGAATGTCATTGCCAATGCTGTAATGGGACAAGGGTTTTTACGAATCCTTGGTTTTTTTTATTCCTATCCCGCTTGTGTTTGTGTTTGGACTTCTTGTCTAACTAGAAAACCTTTTTTATTCTTTTCTTTATCTTTTGGGTAAGTTATGAAAATACGACTTGCAATTGGGTTTGGTTATACTTCCACAATCCCAAAATGTTTCAAACACTTGTTTTTTCAATAATCACAGAAATTTTATTTGCTTGTACGTTTCTATTGATTATTTAAAAAAATAAAATATTTTTGATATGTCTTTAAAAAAATTTCATATAGTTTTTAAATATTTAAATTTTATTTTTTATTTCTATACCAATAATTAAATAAAATTAATGAAAAAACTTGATACTTTATCTCATTTTTTAAATTGTGCTAAACATTTCGGAGGGAGTATCCAAAAGTAACGGCCAAAAATTGGGCTTAAAGGAATAGAATGATGCCAAATGTAACAACAAAATGACCACAAGCTTAAGAGTTATTTTGCTTGTCTCAAAAAAAAATTATTATAGTATGATTTTTTAGGTCAAACATTTTCAGTCTTTGATCATTAATTAAATATAGTTTAAAATAATTAAATATTATAAAAATTTGATATTTTAAAATAATTGATTATTATAAAGATTTTATATTTCAAAATTATATGTTCCCCACATCAACTTAATTTTCAATTCAATTATTTGATTATAGGTGTAAAATTAAAAAATAAATTTTCTATATTCAAGTTGAAGTTTAGATTTTAGGTACAAATATATACTCCCTCCATCCCATGAAACCTTTCTCCTTTCTTTTTTTATCCGTCCCACAAAACCCTTCTCATTTCTATTGAAAAGTCACTTTTACCCCTTACTTTTTCATACCCTGACTATCACATCATACTTTTTTACTAATAATCTATCCATCAAATCATACTTTTACCCATCACATCAAACGACATTTTTGAGAATTCAATACCAAAATACACTTTCCTTAAATCCCTCCTAAAAAGCAAAAGTCTCATGTTTCATGGGACGGAGGGGGTATAATTTTCATTGTATGCATGTGATCTTTAAAGATATTGGATCCTAAAGTTTGACGATATTAGAACACATAAGTCTTAAAGTTCTTATAACTATTTAGTTTAAAGTTGCTATAAAAAGAGATGTGGTCCTTATGTTCTAAATCTATGATTTAATAGGCCAAAAGAAATTTTTCCAATTCAAAATAGTAAAATGATACTTTTGAGGTGTGGTTGTAATGTGTTTACTGTTTTGAGGTGAATGAAATTTTATGCGCTTTTGTTCAAAAAAAAACGATACTTTTGAAAAATATAATTTGTAATTTTTTGCAGATTGATGAAGCAATTATGGGGGTGACAAGAAAAAAGAGGAAAATAGGCAATCATTAGAACAACAAACAGGCATCCTCAAGTTTTGTAGAAAGGTTTACTGATCAATATTTTATGAAAAAGAATGATAACATGCTATATTGGATCCACATACATAAAGAAAAAGCACAGGTATATGGGTATCTCACCAGTCACTTAGAAGGTCTATGTTTCAAATGGTAATTCTACCACCATTAGTGACAAAGGGATATCTAGGTGTCACGATTTGAACCATTCTAAGAATATTTAATCTGTTGAGTCATATTAATTATGTTTCAATAGGTTCTTCTGGTGTTATTTAACTGATAAGTTGCTAAGCATAACCTCGAGTGAGAAACATATTGAGAGTCAATTCTTTTTCTACCTTGGATTCCGAACAAATTACAAAAATTTTTTTTAAAGTTTTACAATCTTATAATGTGTTTACCTCTTCGATTATGTTGTTTGTTTAATTAAAAATTTTCCATTTTTAATTAACATGCTTGATTCTTTTTCGTCCGAACCCCATGTGGCGAAGTTGAACACATGTTCTAAGGAATATGATGGCAATAGATGGATGGGTTGTACTCCATACTATTTTTTGAGCTATATGTGGTTGTGCTATTGCCAAGTATTGGAGTTCCCACATCAGAAAATAAAGATGAATATCACTAGCATATATTGAACGGTGAAGCTTTACCTATCAGCTTAAGCTTTTGGGTTAGAATCGTGGATCCCGACTTTATGTGCAATTGGTTAATTTTACCCGACACTCTATAAGTTGTTCTTGGCCAGCTAGAATTTTAATACCAAGCTCGACGGTTGGACTCCCAAGCGTGGGGGTTGCCATAAGAAGTGAGTTATCAGTTAACACTTAACATTCACACTTTTGTCACTATTGTAATGAAATTTGTATAATCAAGTACTTATAGATACAAGTGTGACTAAAAAACTGAAAATTAAGTTATCATTTAGGCTTAACTTGTGAAAAGTTCCATTTTCCATTGGATATTAATACAATCTCACCGTTAGGCATTATGATTTTTTGAATCCATAATTTAATTCATGCATCTCGAATTCTTGAGGATCATATGTTTCATACAAATTACTAAATTTGAAGCACAAATAAATACTTATGAAGTTTTGATACTTCTTTTTTGATGGGTTGATGAATATATTTCTATTCAAATTTAACTATAAACTTTAGAAGTCAATTTTCTGAGAGTGTGACCCAAAAATATGCCTACTTCACTAAACTAGCTGAAACATTTAAGATGTTTATCAGTTTACTTAGTTCTTCCAGTTCATATGCAAACGATACCTGTTTCTAGATCCAAACGCATCATTTTGTGATGTTCATATGCACTTGAGTTTTTCACTGTTGCAAATAAAACATATGGATTGTATAGTATGGTTGAATGCTGACCATTACCTCAATCAGTTGTTGTGATTCCAGTTTCAGCCCGCTTTACCCCATGTTGTGATATAACAGAAGATGGATCAAAATTCCATCGCTCTCAAATGGGTCTAAAATGTACTCCCTCCGTCCCAAATTATAATGCCTGTTTACTATTCATAGGGTCAAACTTCATTCACTTTCTTTCTCTATTTTCGTTAACAATTTGATAAAATAAAATATTATTGTCACTATTAGTTTTGTAGATCTTTTGATTTAGTTTTTTAATATGTAATTTTTATTTTTTAATTATATACCATTTGTCATATAAAATGGCTTAAAAATAATTTCAGTCAAACATCGTAAACCGAAACAGGTGTTATAAAATGGGACGGAGGTAGTATCATAATAAATTAAAGGGTATATAATCTCACATGAACATGTGCTTTTACGAAAATTTCTTAGTATTTTATATTTTCTCATTATTTTTTCCTCCATGCCAACCATTTCGTCTTTAATTCTAGATTTTTTTCACTTTAATACATCAATATTGCTTTAACAGTTAACTCCCTGCTAAAATAAACATAATGATAGACATTATAGATCAATATTTAATAAAATTAATATTTTGTTGCAGGACTTGATTGAGGATTTTATCGATGCTAAAGACAAACAAATGACATGACTTCAAGATAGTATATCAAGATTCATGCTAATGAAGAAGAACCTGATCTTATAAATTGAGAGATTGAGACAAGTCAGTCACCAAGTTGAAGAGTAACAAGGTTGAAGAAAAATAATACTATACTTGATTTATTGATGAGTTTTATTTTATGGTTTGACTTGCATGATATGGTTAGCATTCACCATGTAAGTGTATGTAGTAGATGATTTTATGGTTTAGTCTATAAATACTTTATTTTGTTTAGCCTAAAACCTTAAACACATGTCTTGGTTCAAAGGTCTTGGTCAAAAAATGTATTATAGAAATAATGTTTGTGGGCACAAACATTTCTCTGACCCTCATAGTATAAAAATTATAGATTTACTTTAAGGGAAGGAAATTGCAGTCTATTTTTAAGCAAATTTATACTACTATGTTAACAAAGGATGTAAGTGTTTTTAAATAAATAAATTTTTATCAATACCCAATGTAATTTTCCTTTAATATTTCATCAAATTTTGTCCATTTTGACTATACAAATATAAGCTGGACGAATAATTTAGGACAAATGTAATAAGTAAATTTTATTAAAATGAGGATTGAAAAAAATCTTATAAAAATGTTCTAACATACCAAAGTCATGGTAAGTTTTGTGTTGCTGTTTCACGAGTGAACACTAAGACATCATTAAAAATATTATTTCTATATGACAATATAATCCCATATAACCATAACCAACATATTGTATACACTGAAGTCTTTAAAAAATTTACAAATAAAAAATATGTAGTCAAGTATACTTTCAATTCTTCAAATATTATATTTTTGTGTTGGTGTCTATTGTATTAAATTTTAAAAATTTTAAACATATTGCATACACTGATGTCTTTAAAATCTTTTTTTATTCTAGACAAAATATTTCATTGAAAAAATCAGAACTGACAAAAAATTCATTCGTTCCCGTGTGTGGCACGGACCAAAATACTAGTATGCTCACGTAGTCTCATGCAATAAAATAAAAATAATTATTTGTCTAGATATACATGAATAATCATTGTCACATAAAAATTAAAAATCTACATGATTTGTACAAAATTTGGAGTCTTAGTTTTATTGAACAAGAAATGGTTGGTATTTGGTAGTGCCAAACCCCCGATTTTTCTCTGTATCCACTTGCTTCACCGACCTGGTGCTGAATCCCGCGCAGTTCTGCTTTCAAAGTTTTAAACAACGGCCCAACCTTCTTCTTCGTCGGCTCGCCAATCAGTTACCGCTCCCACGGATTACGCCATTATCGCCGGTGATTGAACTCCGCACGATGCCGGAGCATCCGACGCCGGATGGATCCGACCCGCTCGATGCCTTCACAGGGCTTTTTCTTCAACCCCGAGCAATTAGGTCTCCGCTTCAAGCTTCGAAGGCTTATCAACCGTGCGATCTAGATTCAGTTCACCAAGCTATGAAGGATATGGTACTCATATCCCGACTGAATTGCTATATTCTAATTTCCAGTTGTAGTAGTAGTAGTAGCTCTAGGGTTCGTTATTCATTTCTCTGTTTAGTTTTAGATTAGCATTTGGGGGAACTTATGCCAACTGAATAAGATCTTGTAGAGGTGGTCAATTGTAGGCATTTTCATTCCATATTATAAATTTGATGTGCGACATAATAACAGCAATTTATAATGCCTGTTTGGTCCTCGATTTCATGAAGGGGCTGAGGAATGCTGAAATGCTCATAGAAGAGTCAAAGGCAATAGTTGCTAGTGGTTCAGAGCAGCTTTTGAATGCTAATTTTCTAAGCTTCAAGTCACTTCTGAGATTGGATGATCATGTTGGTTCGGAGGGAGAAAAAGATAAGGTTGGGGAGCAAAGGACAGGTCTTGGTCGAAAAAAACCACAATTTTCCATGAAGCCATATGCAAGGTTGAACTTTGACCCGTTTTTGTCTTTTGGCAACATTGATTTTTTTTCTTCAAAAACCTCGGCAGTGAGTAGATTTATAAGTTACAATGTGTATTGCAGTCAGCCTACCGTTATTACATTGGGGTCGAGCGTGGATGTTGAACAAATTACAAACCCTGAAGAATATTTTATTGCTTCCATGAAGTTAGAAAGTAAATATTAATCTCTACTCGTCCTCTTATGCATTATGCTGCCACTTTTCTGTTTTATTCTTCAAATACAAATAACATGACACATTTGCATCATGCTAATTGCTACCACTATTTTGCTTTTTTTTTCTTTGCATCAACTACTGTGACTTTGTCTTATATACCCACCACTATTGATGTCTAGATGCTCAGCAAGAAATAAAAAAGCAGTTGGGTATTGTAGATGATGACTTCAACATTAACAGCCTGCCTGCAAACACAAGGCGTTCTCGGCAGCCACTCCGTTCGGGGTATGCTAAAGATTTTTGTTAGCTGTCATCCAGAAATGTTTGTTTTTGTAGGTTGTATTTATGCTTTTCATTGCAAAAGTCATATTTGTTATTTCATTGCAGAAGAACAGGAAAATTTAAACATCTCTACCCATTGCCATCTGCTTACAATGACGTAGTTATCTCCTCACAAGATAGATGTGAGGTGGATGATGTTTGTGCACCAAAATCTAATTTGCAGCAAAAAAGGAACAGTCAGGATGCTGAGCTGCAGGAACCAGAACTTGTTGGTAAGCACATGTTGTTGAAGCAAGACAAGTGTGACTTTCAATTGTGAAATGATTTCATTGTATCCTCTCTTATTGTTGTTGAGATAATATCCCCATTTGCTTTACTCAAGTTTGCGTTAGCAGTGTTCGGAAATGGCTTTGCCTTTTGATTTTGTATTTGTATTTGTGGGTTTTCATTGATGCAATTACATCTCTTTTCCACAGGCTTAATTACTGAACAAGAAAACAGGGTTAATCTTGCTTTGGATAAACTATTGTCTCATGATTTTAAGGAGTTCAAAGGGGATACAGTTTTATCTTTACTGCAGGAGGAGATGCAATTGAAACCTATTGATTTTTCTGCGTTATGCGTGCCTGACCTCCCTGCCCCGAAAATTGACAATCTTATGCCGGGTGTGACAATTCCAAGGGCTAGTAAATCTGTGTTGGGATCACAGAACACAGATAAAAGAACTAATAGTGAAAGACAGAGAAAGGACCTTGACAATAACTCAAATCTGGCAGGTCCTATGAAGACGTTGAGCGAATCAGGCAAGTTGTACGGGGAATATGATATTTACCAAGAACTGAGCGATCTGGATTTGAGTCCTTCAGACAATCACACTTACAGATCTACAAAGAGAAATGTACTGAGTGTTAATACAGATACTAGTCATCATGAATATCGGGATCAGATCAGAGACCATGAGGGTCACACTGATGCAGGCCAAATAGACACGAGAGGTCTGGAAATTTTGAATGAGCAGCCATCAGAGAACAACTCAGGCGGAGAGACAACAGCATTCGGGCAACGTGAAGCTCATGGCACTATGGGGCAACACAATGAAGGGAATCATATGGATATCAGAAGTGATGATGGACACTCGAGCATGCAAAATAGGGATACTGATGTTCAAGGCAGTGGGGATGACTGCACACACAAGGTTTGTTTTTTCTTTCTTTGTTGCTATATTGTCTCTTAGGGCGGCTGAACAGTTGTTGATTGTTAAAAATGCAGGATGTATGCACGCCTATGCAAGAGCTGTCTCCTGCTCAAGTAGAAGTGGATGCTGATGACACAAGCAATACTTCCAATGAAATGGAAACTGATTTTCAGAAGAATTTGTCCTTCCAAATGGATAAACATGTGAGATTTCCATTTCATCAATGAAGAAAATTATGCATGACATTCATAAAGTATATACTTTTTAGCTTAATATACATACCTTTCAGACCGATGATATGCAATCAGCATTTTCAGCAGAGCAAGATCACAATACCGACGATGCATACATCAGCAAAGATTCCGCCAGCGCTTGCAATCCATCTAGTATGATTGTTATTTTATTTAACATCCCAAAACCCAAACTAAAGTCCACCTTCACATTGCTTGAATTAGAGTATTAGACATGTGAATCCTGTAGAATAGCGAGTCATTTAATGTGTTTGTCTTTCATACATCAGAAATTTAGAAGGCAATATTGTTTGAACTCAAGACCTCTTAAATTGATCATAAGTAATCGTATACAATTCTATTAGAAGACTGTTAGACTGCAATCTTTCCATTTAACGTGATGCAGTCATTGGTAATCCCAACTTTTCTCAATGTAGTTGGGATTTATATGCCGATGATGGTTATGAGTTCGGATTTTAGAAAATGTGTTATATCTGGTGGCCTTTCATATGTAGTGAAATGGAAAAATTGCATCTCAAACGAGTTAAATAAACTCTTATCATGCAATTGTCAATTGCATGTGTAACTTTCATGGGAAAAGTGCATTCTTTATCTTTCTAGCTAATGTCAACATCATTTTTATAATTATAAAAACACCAATTTTTTGAACCCCTGGCGGCTGAGCTTTGATTGAGTGGGAAATTCTTTAGTGCCAAATTGGTACGGTGCTCACAAGCTTTAATTGGTTGTATATTGTGTTTAAAAAAAGTGAAATGTTCAACCAATTAAAGCTTGTTGGAATCGGGGTCGGAGAATTCCCCTTGTTTTAGTGCAAGACGTTCCATGGGTTCTTAACCTAGCTTACTTTTCTCCATTAGCTAGTACTAATACTATGTTTGGTTCAAGAAATTTGCAAGGGAAACAAAAATAGAATGATATGGAAAACAAGTTTTCTTGTTTGGTTAGAGAGGAAACAAAAGGCAAGTGGAAGGAAATAAAATGATAAGATAAAATAACCTAAGAAGAAGGAAAACAACTTTCTTTCCATTACGGTGAAGAAAAGGAGAGAAATCTTTTTCATTGTCTTTCCTTTTCTTTCCTTCTGAATTCCTTTGAAGTTTGAACCAAACGTAGCATAAATCTCATTGCAAATATACTCTCTTCTTTGTTCAAGTGACTTGAGATATTTTAGCTTTTAGCTAGACTTTAAAGTATGCCAAGTTTCTCTTACTATTTTTTACAGATCCATCAAAATCAGATGCTTCTCAAGGCCACCCAATGGATATGCAAAGTGTTTTGCCGCCAGTGTCCCATACTAGTCCCGGACAACATATCATGGTTTTTTTTCCCAATCATTTTTTCTCTATTGAGTTGCTTTCGAAAGTAGGATGTTTTGTGTGTATTTCCATCCACATTGTTTAAACTAGAGTTATTTTCCATAATATTCAGAAGCACCCGGCAAAAAAGGTAACAAGGAAAAACAGTCCTTGCCGACGAGAAAGGAAATCCCTTAGAACCAGGAAAAGTTTTGCAGGTTTGATTCATCCTGTAATTGGAACTCTATATCTAAACTGTACCTGTAAATATGCCTTGATGATTTGGTTATGAAAAATTGGTAATTATTACAGATGCTGGCACATCATTTGAGGACGGGGTGAGACGAAGCAAAAGAATCAAGACCAGGCCTTTGGAATTTTGGAAAGGCGAGCGGTTAATATTTGGGCGTGTTAATGACAGTGAGTATCTCCTCTCGTTCACATTTTGAGGAGCGCAGTTAGGATTTTAAAGGGTGTCTGAAACCAAACAATCCAGGGTAAAGAAAACAGAGAACAACTGAGATAGAATGTAACAAGAAACAAAACTTGTTAGAAAAATACAATTCGACTAACTAAACAAATTTGTTTTGCATATTTGTTCATGCATAATTCATTACTCAAATATACTCCGTTTTACAAAAAGACGGAGAAATTGAAACATATGTAAACAAAATTAATCATATTTTTTTTCCCTTTTTTCAATTTACTAGGTAATGATTTCCCTTTAGGAACCCCCTCCCCCCCCTTTCCCTAACGGTTTTTCGGATCTAAACACTTCCTAAAATTTTCCACATTCGTCACTTCATAAACCAGATGATAATTTCTGTCGTGTTTTGTTGCAGGCATGAAGCTTATAGGAGTAAAGTACCTATCTCCAACGGTGGGAAATATTAAAGTGAAGTCATATATTTCAGATGAGTTTAAAGAGGTTATAGAGAAGGCCGCTCGCCACTAAATCCCAGCAAATGTGATCATTACAACTAATTTCCTTCCAGGTAAGACTTGCCTTTAACTTGCTTGGTTTTCATGGGAACCAAGGTTCCCCCCCCCACCCCCCCCCCCCCCCCCACACACACATACCCCCATCCCCATGATTTGTATTGTGATTGTGGAAATACTGATTTGAACTAGTTCTGTATGTGGTTGTATATAACTAGATAATGTCTCAAGAACTCGTTTTTAAAAAAAAAATTAATATTGAAAATAACCATTATGCCAACTAGTGCTGGTCCAAATATTTTGTAGTCCTTTATGCCAAGTTGCTAACTAATGGTTAATCTTTTCTCCTAATTAAATTTCTAACTACACTATTTTTCGATTTGTTAATCTCTGTGGTAATAGTGTTTGACAAAGTTGAGCAGGTTATACGAAATACTCCGTATCAAATTAGATAAATTTTGAGCATCAATTAAATAAAAGTTAAATTTCATATCAGTACAAAATGGTGGTATTATATTTATCTTGTAGAAAAAAATTTTAAAAATAATTTCATCGTATTAGTATTTATTGAAACGATTAGTAATGTTTGCATTATTAATCACTATTAGCGTTTGTGCTTAGAATATTTTTAGCATTTTATGATCTATAGGTGTCATCCTTCGTTGTTGTCACTTGAATGAAATGTTTACACTTGGTTCAAGAAATTTGAAAGGGAAAAGAAGGTGAACACCCCCCCCCCCCCCAGCGAGAACGGCGGTAAAGACAGGTTCTCCCTCTCGTTTACTCCATCGCTTTTTATGCTTTGCACTCTTCACTCTTTATGGCTTTTGACCTTTTTTTTAGTTTTTAAAATTTTAACTTTTTATATAACTTATTTTGCTGCGTTAATTTTTTTATTTTCTTTAAAAGTTTTTTTGTTTTAATTTTTTTTTTTAAAGTTATAGTTTTAGCCATTGTTTGGATAAAAAGAGAAAATGAGTGGAAAGAAATTGGATGGAAAGAAAATAGAGAGGAAAGAAAATGAAGAGAAAATAGAAAGAAAATTATTGTTGTTTGGATGAGTGGAAAATGGAGTGAATATAAAAAGAAAGAAAAGGTGATAAAACAAAAAGACATTTTTATCTTTATTTATGCTAATGAAACAAAGAAAAAGTAATGATAAAATTGTCATTTTAATACTTTTCTCTCCCTCCCTCAAGTTTTCTCGCCACATGAGGGGAGAAAATGTTTCTTACTTTTTTCTCTCCCCTTCCCCTTTTCTCTCCTAAACAAAAAAGTGATTTTTTCTTGGGAAGTGTGTTTTCTCCTCTCTTATTTTCTTGAAAAATGTTAGGGGTACACCAAAGGTGTACCCTATTTGTCCCCCACCCCCTCCATCACCACACAAAAAAGCAAGAAACTAAAACAAAATTAAATAAATAAAAATAAAATAAAATTGAATGATGGATAAAGGGTTGGGGGACAAATGGGGTACACCTTTTGGTGTACCTCTAGCATTGCTCTATTTTCTTTCCTTCCCAATTCCATCCATCCAAACAAAGGGTTAGCTTTTTAAAGTTTGTACTATTCAATTGTATTTTATATTTTTATTTTAATTAATTTAAATTGAGTTAAGTGTTAATAAATACTCCGTAATATCAAAAAAGGAAGGAAAACGGGAAGGGTAATCACACAACGGAAATGGAAATAAAAGAAAAATCTGATATCGCGCCAAGTTTCTAGAAGGGCAAGAGGATAAAGAGGGAACCACATCTACCAACCTAAGAGAAAAAAAATCAAATTTCTTTTCTTTTCTTTTCCTTTCAAAATCTTTTAATCAAACATCTTGTTAAATAAAAAACAAAATACTTTGGGACAAAAAGTATACTTTTATGTTAGTTTTGTGTCATCCATTACCGGATAATTAAATTCAATTCAAACGGATGTTTGATTGATGGAGTGATTGCCAATGGATTGATAGAGTTATTGTATTTGACACTTATGGATTTAATTGGTGAGGGTAATATAAAAAAATAAATAAATGATTTTATTTTTAAAAAAGTTGCTATTTTTCCTTCAAGGGTCTCGTCATGTATTTCTCAATACTCATTCTTTTATTCTCAAACCAAGACACATTGCAATGTTTTTTAGAAGAAAAAAAAACACACTCCATATTTAGACAACCCCAAAACTCCCAAAAGTAGCATTTTTTAAAGTACATGTAGGTTGTTGTGGGGTTGGAAGACATAGGCCGTGTTCCGCTCAATTTATTTTTTTTCTAATTTTTTCTTATTCTTATTAAAATCAGATCAGACTAGATCAGATCATATTGAAACAGATCGAAATAGATCCAAACAGATCAGATCCCATCAAGAATTATTATTATTATTGTTATTATTATTATTATTATTATTATTACTATTACTATTATTATTATTATTATTATTCTTAGAATGAAAAAGAATACACTTTAGAAACAAGTTAAATAGAAAACTAAGAAAATGCCTTCAAAAAAAGAAAATTGAGAAAGTAATCCTTAATTATTAGACGTCAGAAAAATTATTTTTAAAATACATTGATAATGTCAATCTAATTTTTACTTTTAAAATACATTCATATTGCTACCTGTAATTTAAATTTCTAAAGTTTTGATCTTTTGTAAGGATGAGATAGTTTAATAAAAATACTATCTCTTCTATATATTGATTATCTAATTTTATGTACTTTTTTAATGTATATATAAATTAAATATTTATTCTAATGTATATACATGAAGTAATTATTAAAATATTAAATTAATATTCTGATTTCACAAAAATAATCATAAAATAAAAAATATTATGACATTATAATATGAATGATTATTCTAATATATGAATTAACTAATTTTATTTTATTAAAAAATAATCATAAAATAAAAAATATTGATTATATTAAAATATGAATTATCATTACAACTTTCAAACGTTATTATAAAGTCAAATCAAATTATTGATTTGAATTTTAAATCAAATCATAATTAATCAAATCAGATTAGACCAGATCAGATCCAATCAGATCAGACTAGATCAGATCAGAACTTATTAAAATCAGATCAGATCAGAAAAAATAAGTTGAACGGAATGGAGCCATAGTCTCTTTATTCCAAAATACCCCGGAGTATTTGTTATAGTACGTAAAATGAAGTGAAATTTCAAAATTTACCATTTATATATTTCAACATTGGAATACAATTAATTATAAAACTTATACATTTAAAAACTACATCAAAATTTAAACAAAACAATAGGTGATAAAAAATTTTATTTTATACTATAACCGATAAAAAACTAACAAATAAACAAAAATTTCTGTACTTTTAAAATACTCTCTCTGTCCCTCTAGGTTCTTCTAATATATTTACTTTTTTTTTATCTTTTTTCTTTAATTATTTGATATAATAAAATAACATTGTCATCACTTATTTTGTAGATCTTATTATAATGTAATTTTTGAATATATAATTTTCAATTTCACAATAATCAGAAAAACCTAACCAGATATATAGAATAGTGAACTACTATGTACTCCCTCTATCCTAAAATTTTCTTCCCAGAGCACTATTCCAATTTCACGAGAATTTATATTTATTTGTGTTTTTTCATGGCCTATATGATAAAATAAAATATTCTTGTCACCACTTATTTTGTTGAACTTTTGATTTAGTTTTTAAATATGTATGTTTTATTTTTTATTTCTATACCAATATTTAAATAAAATAGATTGAAAAAACTTGAGATTTTTCTTTATTTTGCGCAATGGAAATAAAGTTTTAGGACGGAGAAAGTATAACTTTCTTTTTTAGACGGATGGGGGGTACAAATGGATTGGGATGAAATGTGTAAAGTGTTACAAGTCAAGTCTCATCATAAATGGGTAGTCCCGTCCGTATTGGGGAGTTGATGCTATGTTCTTATCACATTTTCCTTCTCACTCTCATGTCCCAACACTATCTTTGCATTATTGTGGGAGAATATATTCTTCACACCCAAATTGTGTACACTCACTTGTGTTCATCTCGTGTCTATTTAATGTTTCATTTACTCCTTTTCTCATCTAGTAGTATTACAAATAAATTAAATGAATAAAATAATAAATTTAGGGTACACCAGAATCGGGTACTCTATTTGTACACTAAGCAAAAACATGCACTTAGAACCTGTTCTATAGAGTTTGAACTCTTAACTTTCAGTTTCTTCCAGTTTCTTCTAATTGTTTCTAGTTTCATCCAGTTTTGTCTAGTTCTTTCTAGTTTCTTCCAATTATTTTCATTTTCTTTAAATTTTTTCTACACTCCAACCAATTACTCTAAAAATGATAAATTTTTTATGTGATTATTATTATTATTATTATTCTTGTTATTATTATTATTGTTATTATTATTATTATTATTACAACTGCTATGTTCAAAACTATGATTTATAAATTATTTTTTTCATCTCACTATTTTTACGATTCACACTCATCATTTTTTTCTTTACCTTTTTAATATGAACAAGACAATTTTTTGTATATTAATCTACATGATAAAATAGGAAAATATCAATATGTTAAACTATATTTAAAAAATTATGGATAAAATAGTGGCATAGAATATTTTGTTAATATAACTTTATACAAGACCTCTCACCGGCCTTTCTCTTTATTACTTAAAATTTGCTCATTTTTCTAATTTTTATAAAAAAAGTTGTAAGTCAAAATATTTTAGAGAAAAAAAGAGTAAATTAGGAGTAAAACATAAAAAATGTAAAAAATTTTTTATGTATTTATTCCAAAAAAAGGATGTTGGGTTATGGAACCCAGGGGCCTAGGTGGCTAGGCGGATGAGTATCGAACTAAGTATGAGTGCACGAAAATATGGGGTCAAGTAGACTGAGAATGGTATTGTGCTAGTGAGGATAATACTTAGAACGTAAGTTCGGAGCGTGTGGAATGAGCTCCTCCCCTTTCCCTCTTCCTAGAAGAGGGGTATATATAATGGGAGAGTGAGGGCTAGGGTTTACATACAAAGACAAATGGGCTGGCCCAATAGGCTGGGCCGCCCTAAATAAGTAATTAACAAACGACAAACGGGCCGATCGCACAAACTGGACCGCCCCGACTGATATTACACAAAGACCGGATACCCCCTGTCTCGGGTATCCATCATGAGTCCCCCACTTCTCGAGCCGAGAGGAACTCGAGGTGAAGTGGAAGTAGAACCATAATTCTCCACGGAGGGACACCGTCCTCCTTGCTGTCTGGACTGCACCGCCAACTCGCTGTCCTGAGCACGGTGAAGTAAGGCAAGCGACGCCATTTGTCTCGAAATGCAACGCCAACTCGCTGCTCCGAGTAAGGCAAGGTGAAAGAATCTGCATCCATGGATATGAGGTGCATTGCCGACTCGTTGTCCATAGTGGCCAAGTAAAAGAAATCGTAGCACTGAGCACGATGTGCGCTGCCGACTCGCTGTCCGGAGCGGCACGGTAAAAAAGTATGCCCCAATCTGCTCATTGTCTTGAAAGGTTCTGCTCTCGTACAAAGGGCATCGTCGGTTTGCTGTTCAGAGTGCATGAATAAGTCGTCATCCTCTCACAATCCCGTCAATGTGTGACCCATTCCACGGGGGATGCCTCATTAAAAACTTGCCGAGGAAAAAACCCATGAGGATGGGAAAAAATCCTCGGTCAAGAAAAGAGTACATCTCATCCCACGGAGTGGATCAAGAAAATATTGCTAGGGGGTGAGGTCTTCTGTGTAAATTTCAGAAGAGGTGATCTTCAAGTCCCCCGGACTCGTTGTCCGGAGTCGAGGGCTATTCATCATAGTGTATTGCCGACGAGTGCATACCGACACGGACAGCTGCGGTCTGATACAAGGTCGGTGTTGTCAATCGCCAACCTCTCACGATGTGAGATGTAACAATCACGAGCCGAGCACCCGGAGTCCCCCACTCCCTAAGCCGAAGAAGAATTTCGAGGCGAAGGGGAGTAGTGTCCATGCTCGGCTCCGTTGGGAGTCTTTGGCCCCTTCACGAGATGACCGAGGCCGAGGCCGAGCTCGAGTACCCCATGAGGTGGTCGAGGCTGAGCTTGAACGGATGCGGCCGAGCTCGAGCGGATGAGGCCGAGCTTGAGTGGATGAGGCCGAGCTTGAGCGGATGAGGCCGAGCTAGAGTGCCTCACGCGGTGGCTAAGGCTGAGCCTAGCCTTTTCATCCTTCAAACCTGCAAAATAAGTTCAACAAAGAACACAAGGCACTCGCGGGCTCGGATGGACCGATCACCACACGGCCGAGAAAAGTAAGTCAACGTATGAGTTGGGTCCAAAGCTTTGGACAACAGATAGGCATGATCAACGGAGTGCGCCGATCGTGTAGTAGTCTGGTCTAGAACAAACCTTGACGTCATCCTTAGTGAGACCGGGGTCTTCAAATGAGAGCTGCTCGGGTATGTGAGATAGGCACAAAGGATGCACCCCTCGCCTTAGATCCGAGAGCAAATAGTTCACGTTGTGGAAGACGGATATATAGGAGTGCGTCGAGATGGACGGCTTACCTCGGCCTCGCGATAATATCGTCGCGGACGATCTGGAGTGCCTCGCGGGGAGGGCTTACCTCAGCCTCGTAGAAGAGGAAATAAAATCACGTCGTGGGAGACGGATGGGAGTGCGTCGTGGTGGACGGCTTACCTCGGCCTCGTGGAAGAGGAAATGAGATCGCGTCGTGGAAGACGGATGTATAGGAGTGCGTCGAGATGGACGGCTTACCTCGGCCTCGCGATAATATCGTCGCGGACGATCTTCAACACCTCGTAGGGAGGTTTTACCCGGCCTCGCTAAGGGATGACTAAATGAGTTGGATCTGAGCCATGCCCTGAGGCAGGTCGCTGGCCTGTGTAGGGTGTGAGATTGAGCTTTGCACTCGTCCCCCATCAGGGCTTAAAGTGTTGAACACAAAGTGTAATACCATCGTCCAAGTGAGGTCCGATCACATGTGGTGGACAAGGTAATGGTAATAATAATAGAGTAAATGATAGCAATGATGATATTGCTGATATTCTAAAAATAATATAAATGGATAGTTGAGACAATGGTGTCAGACACTTATCTTTTTTTTATTGAGTCCAGACTTCCCAAGAGAAAATGCACAGACACGCCGTCTGCAAAAGCTAACCACTACAGCATATACTCGGCCAATGAATTTCCTTAAGCTCTTTAGTCCTTCCTTCTAGATCTGAGTGGGGGAGGATTAAATTTCCCCGTTACTGAACGATGAGGACGTAAAAGCCATCGTGGGACGGTGAAATCCGGACCCTTTCGCCGCCATTGTTGAACGTGGTGCGATTGCTGGATGTTCCGTCACTAGCCAATATCTTTGTCTCATGGCTGGCCGGGACGAAGGAGTGAACGGAGCAGCAACGCGGATCCGTCCAGGGGCCAAGTGAGGCATTGGCCATTTGAGGGGGTGCCGTCGGCAGCGATAGATCTGGAG